CACATTAACAAGGGGCAGTGAGGGATTTACATGCCACACGCCAAGCACCTCAGTCAACTGGCAGTCCATGCGTATGTACGCCTGAGGGCCACGTCTGGTGCTTGGGCCTGTGGGTTCCAAGGTGTATAAGATAAAGACCTCACCCACCTTGGGACAGGTACTTGTGAACAAGTACAGTTGACCCTTGAACAGCAGAGGGGTTAGGGGTTACTGATTCCTCACACACACAGTAAAAAATCCACATATTTTTGTCAAGGCTCCCCAGAACTTAACTACTAATAGCCTACTGTTGACTGGAAGCCTTACTGATAACATAAACAGTTGATTAACATGTTCTGTATGTTACATGTATATCATATTCTTGCAATACAGTAAGATAGAGAAAAGAAAACCTTGTTTCAAATCGTTGTAAGTCTCCAAAAATTTTTCCAATATAGTTATTGAAAAAAAATCCCTACATAAGTGTTCTTACACAGTTCAAGTCTGTGTTGTTAAAGGGTCAGATGTGACAGGTGCCATGACAGGGTGAGCCAGCCTGCCCAGGCCTGGAGGGAGGAGAGGAGCCGGGCGGGTGTGGCCCTCAGAGAGTCTGGGTGGGCAGCTCTGGGTGTCTATGCTTCTCTTTGAAGGTTCACAAACCCACACTGCAGCAGCAGTCCATTCTTCACTCAGGGCTGGGTTTTCCCAGGGCCACTCATCTCCTGTCCCTGATCTGATGGCAACTTTCCAACTGTCCACAACCCCACAAGGTGGTGGGCCTGTCAGTGTTCTCTGGCCCACAGACGCCTCCAACCCCTCCTTTGGCACTCAAGGCCCTGCCCACATTTGGGATCCCCGGCCCCACTGCTCTTCCCTTTGGGGCCACAAGTGACATGGGATTTCCTTAACATCCTGTTCCATTCCTTGTACATGCCATTCTCAGTCCAACTGCCCTCCCCTGCTTCATGCTTGGTGAACTCCTATGCAGCCTCCAAAACCCCAGACAGCCATCTCAGTGCATGAGCTGATCAAGTCTCCCAACCTGCAGCTGACACACACCCTAAAACATGCTCCTGCGCCAGCTTTCCTTTCTAAATGAACTGTTAATTCTTTGATGAGGAGGCTATACTCAGGGCTGGCCTGTGGATAAAAGAAAAATGTCCACTGAGTTAAACTGACAAGGGTTTATGGTGCTTCTCAGAACCCTGGAAAGTGTTCAGAAACCTCAAGTTTCTAGACCAGTCAGGCTCTCTGACAATCTCCTCACTCCTCTGAGGTTTCTGTTTCCTCTTCAGCTGGGTCTACCCCTCTGGGCTGTAACTTGCTCTCCAGGACAGATTAGAGGAGCAACGGGTCTAGACTGGCCCCTGTCAGCACAGCCCTCTCTGCTCACACCCTCTGTAACTCTGCAGCTCTCCTGCCCAACTTGGCCGTGGACATGGTGGCGTCAGCTCTCATGAATATGACAGTGCATCACACCCCAGTGCTGGGGACCCCAGTTCCTGACCTGTCCTCCACGGCTCTGTTCTGCCTTCTTATAGCCACTTTGGAAGGGCAATTATAATGATGCTGGTGGCAGTGGCAGCGGTTTTACTGAGCACCTACTAGGTGCTACATACTTTGATACTTACCTATTTAAGAGTCACGGCAGCCATCAAATAGGCACACAGCTACTATGCCTATTTGACAGAAGAGCACAACAAGGAGCGCAGAGAAGGCACTAGACCACGCCTCCAACACCTCCCTGTGCCCTCTATGCCCTTCCCCTCAGTGCACCCTGCCTCCTGCCAGAGCTGGGCCCCACACTCCCTGCTGCCCCTGAAGCATCCCTTGGACTTCGGCGTCACAGCCAACGTGGGACTCAGGAGCAGGGGCCTGCAGGCGGGGGTAAGTCTCTCTCTCCCCCAGCCTCCGCCTTGACACTCTGCCCTGGGGCCCCTGCTGGGCACATGTGAGGTGCCCTCACCTACATTAGCTCAGTGCTCTTCCTGACAAGTCTTTGAGAAACCAGTTATTATTACTCTCATTTCACAGATGGGAAGATGGAGGCAGAGAGGTTAAGTACTAGGCCAACATGACACAGCTAGCAAGTGGCAGAACCTGGATTTGAACCCAGAGCCCATCTGTGCTCTCATCCTCTGTCCCTCGGTGCCCAGCAGAGTGTCTGCCACAAAGTCGGTGCTGAATATATCATCTTCTTTCCTGCCCCTCCTGAGGTCCAACCCTAGGGGATTCTAGGGACAATGGATACTATTTGTAGGTCTTGGCTGTCAGGCCAAACATCTGCCGCCTAAACAGACAGCTCAGGTGAGTTTTGACGGGAGAGGCTGTGCCTTGTGCCTTAGCCTAGAGGCCCACGTGGGGCATGACGTGAGGAGCCACCTTTGCCATCTGCCGGTGCCCCTTCAGAGCTGCTGGCACTGACCCACACAATTGGAAGGCCACTCCGACTCATGGGCTAAATCACTGCATGGCACCCATGTGGCAAGGCTAGTGTCCTAGGGTTTTCCCAACTTTCCAACTCTGCCCATCAGCCATGGTCTCCAACTAGAAGCTGCCTCCAGAACATTCTATCTACAAGTCAGGCTTCCAACATAACCAGACAAGAGTTCTCTGCTTCCAAATGGCGAGAAAATGGAAATGCCTCTAGCCCAGGGGCTTGCATCCATTTATTTATTTTTGCCTATGACCCCCACCCCCAGGAAAAATGTTTTACATGTGACCCTATGCATACAAATTTGTGGGTATGTTTAACCAGAACACAAGTTTTGTGAAAAAATATTTTCCTTTACTTTCTATAAAACCACTTTGATATTGTCTGTTTTATCCTTTTTCAATCCTTTCTATCCCCAAACTGCTTTATTAAGAACAAAAGGTGTCAATCATGTCTAGGGCTGCCAGACGACACAGAGGATGCCCAGTTAAATTTCCATTTCGGAAAAAGGAAGATTTTTTTCACCAGGAGTATGTTCCAATTATTACGTGAGACATACTTACACTAAAAAAGTATTTGTTGCTTATCTGAAATTCAAATTTAAGTGAGAATCCTGTATTTTTATTTGTTGAATCTGGCAAGCCTAGTTATACATTCCTTAAAGGATTTTGAGACCCTAGAGAATGAAAACTACTGTTTATAGAGACTCTGGCTTCAGGTCTGAAAACCTGAAATGGAATGATCAGATGCTGTGTGAAGTGGGAATTTATTTAAAGGGAGGGTCCACGGCCCACCCCAAGTGTCTCAGGGGAACCTATTGGCCGAAAAAAGAGGGAACCACTGCCCAGCAAGTGCTGACCTCTGTCAGCAGGCCCCGGGACACTGCTCGGAAAGGCTCATGTGCTTTCCTCACGTCTGCTGGCGAGCACCAGCCCTGTGTGGCCTCCAGCCCAACACCAGTGCTTTCCCTGCCTCCTGACCCTGGCACAGCCTTTCTGCCTGGGAGGCCCCCAAGGTGGACCCAGCTGTCTGGGGCCACCAGGCCTGGAACACAGATATTCTCTCAGCACCACCTTTGTCCTTCATCGGCTCGGTCCAGGCCACTGCAAGTCCTTTACCCCAGGCCAGCAGAGCAAATGCTTCCCACTGGCCTCCTGTCCAGAGGACACCCCATGAGGTGGTTTCTACTAGCACACACCGCTTCCCCTCCTCCTGCAGCCCAGCGCATCTTTCCCCCCCAACCCCGGGCACAGCCTCGGCAGAGTTACTGAGCACCTTCGGAGTGCCCAGCCCACCTCGCGGCATGGCCAGTGAGGACGGGCACGCTGCGGCTTGGCCACCCACCAGCTGTTGCCGCAGAAAACCGAAACATACACACTTTTAGTCACAGTTTCCTTATCTGTAAAGTTACTTTCCTCAAAAGGTTTCTGTGAGAATGAAATGAGATGAAGTAAGGAAATGTGGCTGAGGAAATATTACATTACAATACAATGATCACCTTCATTGTACAGATGGACAGACTGAGGCTTTGAGCTGTTCCCCCCGCCGGCAGACAGGGCTCTGAGGCCAGGCAGCAGATGGGCCACATCTTCACATTTTTTGCCACTCGACCCTGCTGCCATCTAGAGCCCAGCTGTCACTCCCGGGTCCCTCTTCTAGGAGCCTGGCAGCAGCTTTCTCATGACACTGACCCCAGGCCACAGTGCCCAGCTGTCACTCTCCATCTGCCCACTGGAGCTGCCAACCAGACTCTGCCCCGGAGAGCCTTCTGCCCCCTCCCCTGATTCTCTTCCATCGCCCTATTTTGTTTTCTTTACAACATTCAATCAGCTGCTGAAATCATCATATGAATACATTTATCTGAGTATTTATTGGCCACTCACTACCTGGGAATGTAAATTCCATGTGGGCATCTCTCCTACCCACCCTGAATTCCCAGTGTCTTGTCCACAACAGCTTCTCCACAAGCATTTGGTGTGTGAACAGTTTCCATGTCACTGATGAGTTTACTTGATGGTGCAAAACGCAAAGCCTTAGAGGCTCAGAGTGGCCCCTAGATGCTGAGCTCTTTCCTAAGGAGCCTTACATGTAGATCACCCCCATTTCATAGGTGAGGAAACTGAGGCCCAGAGCAGTTAAGCAACATGTCCAAGCTGGGATGTGAATTTAGACAGACTGGTTCTAGAGTGCATGTACCTCAGTGCTAGACTAGGCTGCCTCTCAGTCTACGCTATGCTACAGACACTGCTTGGTGTGGACACCAGCCCTTATGTGTGCAGGGCCTCAGACCAGGCACTGGGAAGTGACTGTACGCATCAGCCTGGCACTAGCAGGGAGGAGTGCACACACACAGACCACCACCCTGGGCTGAGTGTGAGCTCATTTCCCCAACAAATAAAAAGCAGGAGGCCTCTGAAGGAGGGGGCATGAAAAGTGGGCCGTAGACCTGGGGAGGGGTTCCACAGGCAGGGTGCCCCACGGGGTGGGATGTGCCGGCAGAACTGGCTGTTCCAGCAGTCCGTTACTGATCGGTCACCAGAAAGGGCACTAGTAGAATGACAGCATTATGAGCATGAGGGGGACTTACTTTTCTTGTGGCTGTAAAACTTATCCTCAGAACCATCCTTGGACTTCTTAATTATCAGTTTCCCAGCCTCAACATCAACTTTGAGCTGCAATTTCTGAGGAATCCCCAGGGACTCTGACTTCACCTGCACAGAAGAGGAGAAGGATGGGGGAGGGCAGAGGGTGGCGTCAGGCACCCCTTCTCTGTCCAGGCTGTCATGGTGCCGGCCTGTGGGACCATCTGTTTGGCTGGGCAGCTCTTGGCCAGTCCAGCCCTGGTGTCCCACGTGGGGCCATCGGGCTTCTACTTCTGAGCCTCCCTCTCCCCAGAGCCTTCCATCTATGTTTCTGGGCAGTTCCTGAGAATCGTTAAAACGTGGGAAGCCCAGCCTGTCCACTGTGGGCTCATCAGCTGTTCTGCCAACAGCTTTGCAGCAGGAAACAGACGCACTACTGGAAAATGGTTTATTCCCTGCTTAGTGTGACAACGCTCACGAAGCTGCTTTGTCATCTACTTCCAGAAAGGATTTCAGGAATAGACTGAAGCTCCTGGCCTGGTTACAACCAATAACTGAACATTTACTGGTGACAATAAGACAAAGACAATTGCGAAGGCACGCTCAGAAGGTGGAGTGTGTCTCAGTACTGAATTACCATCAGGGCTGGAGGGAACCTCGGTGGGGAACGGGGGCATCCTGTCCTGTGTGTCTGCATGTGGGACCAGGGCTGGGTTGGACGTACCAGGACCTCTGCGCATCATTAAGAAAAGCAAATTTCTGGGCCCAAGACTGGAGATTCTAACGCAGTCAGTCTCACGGTAATCATAGGAATTGTATTTTTTCCTAATCCCTCTTTGAGGTGCTACTTTGCAGTCTGGGAGCCCCTTGTTTGATGTCACTTGCTGCCCCATTTGGAGGAGAATGAAGTTTAACGCTTCCTGGGCTGAGGAGCCCTACAGATTCACCTGGGCACCCATTCTGACATTTAGTCATCACCACAGGGGGGTCCACTCACTACCATTCTAAGCCATTGGGATCCTCACTCTTGAGTAGCGTAACCAAAGTTCCCAGTTCCACAGGGCTAGCACATCCCCCAGCTTCCAAATGTGGAGCCCAGGGGCACAGTCACTTACCTCAAAGGTGACTGGAGGGATAAGGGAACGCCGGTGGGAAAACTCGGGACCTTCATGCAGCAAGGCCTTGACCTGTGGGCATAAATGCGCCAAGTGGCTGGGGCGGAGGGCGGGCAGCGTCCTTTGGGACAGAGTCAAGAGGTGCACAGAGCCTGCACACCTGGGTGTTCTCTGAGCGAGGGGGGACCAAAGAGAAGCAAAGAGAAGCTGCAGGATGCCCCAAGTACCTTATCTTCAATAGAAGACAGCAGACTAGTCAGTTGAGTGAGCTTGGCCACCATGTTGACCAGGTTGGCTTCACCAGGCACCTGGGACATGAGGACAAGAGGGCACAGGAGCAGCAATCACTGAGCGCCAGCTACTGGGAGGAGCTCCACCGGCGTGGCCCGGCGCGCCATTTATGCCCAGCAACCCAGGAGTACTGTCATTTTGCAGATGGCCCCTTTTGCAGATTAGGAAGCCAACTATCTCGAAATTATCTCAACACTATCTCAAAATTATCATGGCCAAAATATCAACCTTCATTTCTTCTTCCATCTAAACCTGCTTCACCCTGAGTGCTCCCCACCTCATCCACTCAATTACTCAAACAAAACTCTAGGATGGGCCTTGGCTATTCCCTTTCCTCTTCCTACATCTACTGCATTCGTGCTCCTGCTCTACTCCTAACACACAGCCACCCAGTCACTTAAAGCCCTGGGTACACTGCTGGCAGAGAATTACCCAAACTGTCTACCCTGCCCTCCGGGATTCTGCATAATCCACTCCTCACCCCCAGACACTCTCCTCCTCTCTTCTGAGGCTGGTGTTTTCCCCTGTCTCCCTTTGAATGTGTCACCTGGAGGGGGGGTTGGCAAAAAGTTACAAAGTATAAATGAAATTACCGCTATTCAAGGAGTTACTTCCTGGAACAAAGGATCTTAGAAGAATGCTGGAGCTTTGTCTCTGCATCAGCCTCTCTTTAGGTAGAGTGTATATGGCAGCTTTATGAGGTCTCCTGCCATGCCCAGCACTATCTTAAGTGCATTATTGTAAATGCACCCATCTCATCCTCCCTTGTGTAGATTGTTCTAATCCTTGTTTTGCAGACTCAGGAAACTGAGTCACAGCAGAGAGTCAACTTGTTCAAGGTCACACAGCTATAGATAGAGATTTGAATATAGCCCTAAGGTTCTCAGCTGGTGATAACTTTGCTCCCCCGGGGACATTTGATAATGTCTGGAGACATTTTGGGGTGTCCTAACTGGGGGATGCTAATGGCATTCTGGTAGCTGGAGGCCAGTTATGTGTTAACACCCTACAGTGCACAGGACAATCCAGCCCCAAATGTCATCACCGCGGAGGTTGAGGGTCCAACTCGCAGCTCAGCTTAGGAGCGGGCGAGGGGGCCTGAGTGCTGCCTGTGGTCGCACAAACCGGCCGTGAACTTTGCTCTACAGTTGCTCTTTACAAGGGAGGATGTGGGCCCCAAGGTTAGCAGTTCACCTTTCTCTCCAGGGCAGAGCCAACCCCAACCTCAGGCCCACTGTCATCTGGGTAATGTTGCATTTCACACCTCCCAGCAGTTCTTACATAAATCCCACGCTGGGGTCCAGGTGTCCCCATCTCGTCTCGTCTGCCTAAGTGGAAGGGCCTAGTGCCGGTGAGAGTGTACCCCGGGGGAGGGGGGGCGCCTCACATGCTCACTCCTTCACATAGCCCTGTGGCATCAGACATCACTGTGTCCATTTCACAGATGAGGACACTAAGGACTAGTGAGGATGTCTGTGATCCAGGGGCCAGCGCTCTCTCTTTCCTCTACCTCAGGCAGCCTGCAACTTTCTCTCCAATTTGTGAATTTCTGAAGGCATCAAGAATTGTGAATTTCTGAAGGCATCAAGAACTGTGTTCTTTGTCAGAGTCTGGTAAGAGCTGGTGGGAGTGAGAGCTCTTTTCTCGATGCCCACATCTGGAGCCCCCTCTACCTGGTCACTGCTCGGTCCAGCCCAGACCATCATCGCTTTAGCTTCAGCAGGAAGGCAGTGACCTCAGCCTGGCTGCATCAGCTCAGCTTCCTCTGGGAGCTTCCTCTTTTAATTGGCTTCAAAATGTTGGGGGTGTGGTCTTCTATGCAAACTATTTAAATTTTAGCATCTGGCAGGGCCTGTTTTGTCTAGATTTGCATTTATGTTCCCAGAAATCAACCCATCATTCACTTCGAGGAAAGCAAAATTACTTTTGATGAATTTTTTAAGTTATACAAATGGAACCTATGTTTTTTTTCTCAGTAAAAATCTGTAACAAATATGCAAACCTGAAGTCCTCCTTGATTCAGCCCCCTTCTCTCCAATTTCATTCCAAGTGATGACGAGAAGTAGCCCTTTGGTTATGAATCTTTCTGGTACGACCTCCACGCACAGACTTACATCCTAGTTTACGTATTGTTCTTCTACTTGCATTTCTCTACCCAACAGTAATGCCTTGGAGATCTTTCCACGATAGTGCACCCACCTTAGAGTAGAATCCTGTACCACGCTTGAACCAAGTCTCTTACGTTTGTGTGGTTTCCAATGACTTTGCTTGTGGGGACAAAGCCACAAAAAAAATCTTAGTCATTATCTCTGCACAAGGGCGTAGCCGGAGACGGCTTCCTTCAGTAGAACTAACTGCTGGCAGGAAAGATGCCTGCATTCAACACTTTCATGCAAATGGTCAAACTGCCTTTCAGAAAAAATTTCCATCACAACAGTAGAACAGTGTGCCCATGTGAATGATGGCTGCACCCTAGCCCAGCCCTAACTTGATCAATCAACTTCTTGCCCATCTGATTAGGCAGGAAGAGGTCTCCCTGTTTTGAATATCATTTTCCAGCTACCAGCAAGGTGAGGTTGAACACCTTTTCGTGTGTGCATTGGCCATTTCCATCCCTCCTCAGCAAGACAGGTTTTTTATATCCTTTCCCCATTTAAAAAACTGGGTTGCTTTTACTTAATTATGTGTAGGAAATGTTTAAAAGACAGTAATCCTTTGTCCCTTATGTTGGTTGCAAGTACTTTCTGCAGAGATACTGCTTTTCCTTGCTTTTTAAAAATTTGCCAGTGACACCTTTAGACACAGGGACCTTTGCTCAGTGGACAACCTGGTCTTGGCCGCTTGAGGCAGGGGCAGGGGAAGGCTTCATCTTGCTCTTCTTGGGGGCAGGAGGAGGGTTCAACCATTTAGGCACTTCGTTTTTCCATTCTTCCAGTTCCCAGTGAGAAATGATGGGGGAAGGCCTTGCCTCGCCTCCTTATTCAGCACTAATACGTAGTTTTGCTGGTGAGTAATTGGAAATCTTTATTCCTCCACCAAAATCAGGCAGCAGGAAATGTCTTACTGGGCAGGGGTTGGATATGGAGGGGAGCTGGCAGCATCCTGGGGATGCCACTCCCTGCCCCATGCTCTCAGGGCGGGGCGGGGGCTCCCTTCTGGACCCCGGAGACGCTGGCCATCCGGCTCCCACCCCCGCCCCCTGGTGTATCAATCTCATCTTTCCAACCCCGAAGCGTTTACCTGAGGCCGTGGACGGAGGCCCGGGGAGAGTGGCTGGTCAAACAACCGCTGCAGAGACTCCAGGGCGGGGAGGGTCCGGACGACTTCACTGGCCGCAGGGGAGAAAGTGAAGGTCAAGGATTAGTGAGGACTGTTGAGGCACCGCGGCTCCAGCTGGAGATGGGGTCACACCGGTTCAGGCGAAGGCCGAGATCCTTCACAGAAGGACAAGTCCGAGGAAAGATCCAGGCCTGCCAGCACCGGCCCACGCCAGACCCCCTCTCCTTCTGGTCCCCAATCTCGGACCAAACTGGAGTCGTGATGTGTAGACTTGATTTACCTCTGTTTAGCCATACTCGACTCTACAGCCTGTGAAAAATTTGAATCTAGAATCACAAAATTACTTTGAAATCCCTTAATAACCCACAGTTCCCAACCTTCAGTGCTTTTAAGAGTCACACACGCAAGTTTTAAAAATGCAAATTTATGGGTCTCATCGGGACCTGGTCTAGAATCTGCATTTTAAATGTGAGCCCCAGGGGGTTCCTGTGCTCGCAGCCTGGGCGTTCCGGCTCAGGTCCCTCCTCCGAGATGGAGACGCCCTGGGAGGTTCTTTCACGGTCTGATGCACCCACAGACCCGACCCTGGGGCTTTATCCACTCTTGGTTCCCTCCTTTACTTCCTATGGCTTTCCCTTTGTTTTAAGCAAGGTGGACAGACAATTTTAAATTGTGCTTTTCACTTACTGTATCACCAAAAACTGTTAATGTTTTTGCATATTTAACATTCTAAAATGGCTCCAAAACATTCTATCGAGTGAATGTGCCAAAATCGATTGCTAGGTATTTAGGTTATTTTGAGATTTGGCAATTACAAATAAAGGCTACTCTAAACAGCTTTGTTCATATAACTTTTCTTATTTTCAATTACAGTTTAGGATAATCAGAGGTTATGGCTTTTTTTTTATTAAGATAATTGATATACACTCTTATGAAGGTTGATCATATACACTCTTACGAAGGTTTCACAAGAAAAACGTGGTTATTACATTCACCCTTATTATGGAGTCCCCCCCATACCCCATTGCAGTCGCCCTCCATCAGTGCAGTAAGATGCCACGGAGTCCCTATTTGTCTTCTCTGAGCTGCATTGTCTTCCCCGTGAGCCCACACACACCATGTGCACCAATCATGATACCCCACAATCCCCTTCTCCCTCCCTCCCCAACCCTCCCCTTTGGTAACCACTAGCCCCTTTCTGGAGTCTGTGAGTCAGCTGTTACTTTGTTCCTTCAGTTTCACTTCAAGGTTATGGCTTTTTATCAATATTGCCAAGCCCTTAAGTGATGGTGGTAATTGCCATCAGCACTGTTCAGTCAATGGATTGTCCAGATTCTTTTCTCTCTTGTTCAGTGGGTATCTCATTGTTGAAGGGCTGATAATTTACATATCTTTAATTTCTGATGTCATTAAGTATTGTCCTACATGGATGGTTTCTACCGTATTTCTCTTTGTATAAACGGTTGTTCCTAGGGTCAGTTTTTCATTGGGAATTCTGTTAATGTTAGTATTTTATTGCATAGGTATAAACTCTTTATGCATTACTCTGCTTTATATTTAATCTAGGTGTTGTATTTTTTTTCTGTTGTTATTTTCATCCTGAGTGGGCTGGATTTCATTATCAACTGACTTATCATTTTTTATTGTTATATTTTTCATCTTTTCCTTAATTTTTTGCTTCCCATAGTTGAACTTTATCATCCGTATTTAGTAGTGATAAATTATTTGTTTAAGTTGGTTTATCCTTTTAAATGTTGTATCTGGGGTTTTGTTATCATATATTTTTAATTCCTTATCTAAAATTTTCTTTAAAATATGTGGTGGAACCAAGTTCATCCTTCTCCATGTTGCTATTAGTTTTGCTCAACAGCATTTGCTCTTTTTCCCATAGTTCTCTTGGGCTTGCCTGTTGTAGGAGCTCTTTTTGAATATAATGGGATGTTTTCCAGGCTCCAGGATGTGCTGGGAGGAGGTATTGGCAGGGGAGAGAGAGAGGGAAGCACTGGGCAGACAGAATTCTGGGGTTTCCATCCGCCCTCCACCAGGACTGCTCTGTTGATTTGTTCACACAGTGTCTTAAAGCACTAATTCAGAACATGCTTTAACATTAACTAGACCTCTCTTATGTTCTTTTTCAAAACGTTATTCTAAAAACACAAATAAACATACACAAGCTGAATGTTTAGAATTTTCTAAGAATCATGCTGGTTTTCCCTGTGTTTTTGAGCTCTGTAAAATTTTGAGAAATCTGAGTGGTTTCCAGATATGTCTGGAGGTTTTCTGGTTAGGGTCAGAATGACCAATGACGCATAGGGACTTCAGCGGGAAGGCTGCAGAAGAACTGGCCTTATAAAGAAAGGATTGTCCAAGGAAGTAACCACCACAGGGTCCCTGGAAGGCTTGTCCAGCTTCAGGTCACCAGCTCGAGGGAAGCCTGGGTGTAAAGACAGAGGGCTGCTGTGCTGGGGCTGGGCAGACCCCAGAGAGAGCTCAGAAGGGGCCTTCGCCCCCTGCTGCAGCCCTCCCATCTTGATCTTGGAGAGTTAAATTGCCTATGATGCCCATTCACTTTCCAGCTCGTATATGCAGTATCTATCCAGTATCTAGGAGCTCAGAACTCCAGACTCAGATGGAATATTCTGATGATTTGTTGTTTTCTTCATTTTTCCTTCCCCCACTCTTCGCTTCTTTTTCTCATCTTGCTTTAGCAAAAAATTATCATACAGTATTAAATAATCAGGTAGTAATGGTCATCTCTTTCTTTTGTTAAATGGCTAACAGAATGATTTTAATGTTTCCCTTTCAAGTGTAATTGGTTTTACATCGACACATACTGCATGGTTAAGGAGGCACACTTCTATGCCTTTTTTAAAAATGATTTTTTAAAATTAGAAATGATGTCTAAATGTTATCACATATCCATGCAAATGATTCCTTTATCTTTTAATCTACTGATAGATAATAGTCTTTTCTTTATGTTGACTCATCTTTGATGTGATTTCTTAGATAAAGCCTATATTTTTAATAACACTAAATTATATTAGCTAGACTACTGAATTATTCTATATTTATATTAATAAATGAAACTGGATACAGTTTTATTTCAGGCTATCATCTTGATTAGGTTTTTGGATTTGGATCATCTTTTTCTTAAAGATTAAATGAGGTGATTTTTGTCATTCAGAAATAATACATTATAGTCATTATTTGTTCCTTGAAACTTCAAAGGAGGGTACACATGGTAATTTTTACATTTCATATTTTCTATATTAATATTTCTATAAAATATTTGTTCCATTACCTATAATTTGAAGGTTTGTAGACCTGTAATTATGCACTGTATTCTTTATTGATTTGGAAATCTGTAATGCCAATTATTAAGTCTCCTACATCTCTAATTATTTTAATTGACTTATTCCTGAATTGATTTGTCTTTATTTTTACCATTTCTCCCCTTCTCTTTTCCTTTCCAGTTGTTTTTGTTGTTCATCCCCTCAACAGAGAGTTCTTAAAGACTGTTCTGTTCACTGCTGTACTTCCAGCCTCTGGAACAGTGCCTGGCACATACCTGGCATACAATCACACCTTATTCATGAATACTGAATAACAAATGTTTCAAGTACTTTGCTGGATGGTGAAATATCAAGCAATTTGGATATGAACCCATGATGCCTTCAAGAGACTTACAGAAGAGACTCGGTTTGCACTTTTGACTCATTATTCTACTTCCCTTTTCAGAAGAGAGTATTTAAAGCTATGAATTTTCCTCCAAGTAGCACTTTGGCTGCATCAGACAGAGTTCTGATATACAGTGGGGTGATTACTTTCCACGCCTCCCAACATCTATCCAATGGAAGCTATCATTATGTCAGTTCCTACCTTAGTTCAGCTGAGATTTAGGAGACTATCTAAAAATGTCCAGATAGTTTGCAGCTAGTTTTATTTATTTCTATTTTTATCCAATGTGTTGAGTAGAGAACGAACACTTTTGCTTTGGGTGTATTCATATCCAGCTGCTCAGTAAGTTGTTTGGTCTTAATTTTAGTATCACCAGCACTTAAAAATTTCTGGAAAAAAAATTCTTGAATCTCTTTTGAAATAAGAGGCATGGGATTCATACACTTTCATAAACTTTTTAAGTCTTCAAAGAGTCCCTATACTCTTTTTTTAAAAAATTTTATTTTGGTATCATTAATCTACAATTACACGAAGAACATTATGTTTACTAGGCTCCCCCCTTTACCAAGTCCCCCCTACATCCCCATTCACAGTCAGAGTCCCTATACTCTTGAATGACATCTAGATGAAGTTAATCCCAGGACAGTTGTCTTCTCCTTGGAGATATTGCTTCAGAATTGTTATTGTATCATCAAGGAGTGTGAATAATATTAAATCTTATAACTTTTTAAAAGGAATGGTGCTGTTTCTAATTATTTGCTTTTGAATTCATCTTCCCTTGTAGCTTAGAAACACTATAAGAAGAGGTTTAGGTGCTACTATTTGGTTGTTCCACTAATTGGACCTTTACAATGCTTCTCAACATCTGACTTAGCTCCTTTATAAGCCTGGGCAAAAAATTTTTCTTTTATACATTTAGTCATCATATTTTCCTGCTTCTTTGAGAGTCTCCTTCCAGTTACAAGCTGAATACCATGCCCTCTTTCCAAAGAACGTCAGTTAGTTTGCGCCTTCTTTGCACACGCTTACTTCATCCCCCCATGTTTTCTATGTACACCCCCCAGACTCTCCACTCTGTTTCGTGATTTGGTTTTCAAATTTGATTTGAAAATTATGGGTTTATTTTTATGACCTCCCATGAAGTACGGTGAGGTATTTTTGTTTCAGGTTTATTTGTTTTTTAAAGTCTTAACCCTGTTCTACCTTAATAGATAAAACATCCTCTTCCAGATTTGGACATTTTAAAATTTCACTTAGATTCTCCATTTCTAAAGTTAGCAAACATTTCTAGATTTTGGTGATTTTATTCTTTCTTCTTTTCTCTGGAAAACCTGTTTGGTCCTAGATAACTTGGGGTTGGTTACAAGTCTCCCTTGAGGCTTTGAGCTGCTGACGTACTTATTTCAGAAGCAGGTGCCGAGGGAGGAGTGACACTTTGCAGGGGAGGCTCTCGCACGGTTCCACTGCTCCTCACACCTCAGTTCTCTGTGACCTTCCCATTTGGGGGAGGTTGTTCGGGGCCAAGTGGTCTGAGGGGAAGGACCTGGTCACCCTTGGTGCCATCCCCAGTCACCTGCTCTAGCTCCTTCTCTTTCACACCACCTCTGAATGTCCCACCTAAGGCCCCTTCTCCATTCCCACACCCACTACAGTAACCTTACTTATCTCCCAGCTTTATATACCGTGTGCTGATGAGTCTCAAATGAACACCCCGGCCTTGAGGTTTCAGGCTCTAACTTCCAGCATAACTCCTATGCCTCAGTTGGTGGGATGCCTAATAGCACTTCAAGCCAATCTTCCCCAACCCCCCCGTCCTCCTTGACTTTAACCTGGTCAGTAACTGGCATCACCATCCAGTCATGCAACGAGTCTGCCAGCTCTACCATCCACACATACCCAAGGCTGTGCATGCCTGCACACCCCAGGCCCTAGGGTCACTACTTTTATCTAATCTCTATCAGCTGTTCCCATGCACCAGGCATGGTCTAATGCCAGGACTCAGTTGGAGGCAACAGTGCACTGCCCTCCCTGGGCTGCCATCATATCATGACCACAGCAGCTCTGAGTTGTTCTGCTGCGCTGGGTCTGCTTCCTGAGATCCATTCTCCACAGCTCAAGTTCAAATCACAGCATGATCCTGTAAAATCTCCGGAGGGCCTCAGGAGGTGTGTGTGCCATAGCACTTGCCTAGCATTGCCACATAAGACACACGATGCCAGTTAAATCGGAATTGCAGATAATAATGGGTAATCTGTTAATCTAAGTATATCCCAATATTGCATAGTATATATTAATATTTAAAAAAACATTTATGGTTTATCTAAAATACAGACTAAAGTGGGCAACCTGTGTTTTTTTGCTAAATTGGCCACCTTTTGTGTGCTTCTCCCCAACCTCTGCTCCTAATGCTTTCCTTCCCTCATTATGCTCCAGCTGCACAGACTTCCTTCCTGCTCCTTGTAGGTGTGCCTCATTCCTACCTCAGGACCTTTGTACTTGACATCCCTCAGCCAAATCACTGGATGGCTAGTTCCGTCTTATCTTTGAGGTCCCAGCTCTGTGTCACCACCTAGGCCTACTTGACCCCAAAGAACACTGGCACCCGCCCACCAAATGTCTCTGTCACTTCTTCCAGTTGTATTTCATCGTGATCTTCACTGTCTTGTTTATCTTATTAATTTACAGACTTAATTTGCTATTATGCTTCTCACTAAGATACAAGCTCTAACAAGGTCTAGAGGAACCTTGTTTGTTGTGCTTATTGCTATGTCCCAGCACCCAGAGCTCGAGGAGCGCCTCCATACATATTTGTTAAGTGAATGAATGAATTGAAGACCTGTTCCAATCAATGCAGTTAGAAAACTACGCATTTTGTACTTAGTTCCACAGACTAGCATCTGCAGCAGTGGCAGGGGGAGGAGAAACATAATTTTGCTACTATCTAAGATGTTCTAAAATTCCATCTCCCAGTGAATTAAGTCTCCAAGCCTGGCTATCGCCTTGCCTAGGAACGTGAAGGCAGCAAGTGTGCAGGGGAACATCACAGTGATTCTGACTCTACCTGGAAGTTAACTGTTCAGTAAACAAAGCTGTGGAACAGTGAGAAACCAAAGGAAACTTTTTCCACCGGCACAATGTTCCAGAGAAGCAGACACATTAGGAAGGTACTCCCCCATAACATGAGGTCACCCAGATCCTAGGAAAGCCAGGTAGCAATGAGGTGTGGGGAAAAGCAGCCCATGTGCTGAGTGCCCAGGGGAAGCCTTGTGGAGAGACTTAAAGATGCATTTCCTTCTGGATGAGGAAGCAGTAAAGAACAGGATCTCCAGCAGAAATAAAAGCTCATTACCAGTCACCATGAGACGTGTTTCTGCAAAAGAAAGTGCCCTCTATGTGTTTCCTCCAGTGAAACATTATTTATAACAACAGCATCAAATGGAAAAATATCTCTCTGTGGAAATCTATAAAAATGACAGCTGTAGAATCAGTTGGCTGAAATTACATTAGCTGAAAGTCAATTCATTGAAATTAAGCCTGACTGGCCAATTTGATGAATGCCCCATTTGTCAAAGAAATTTCTTGTTAAATCTACCAAATGTACTGATTGTGCTTTTAAGAGCCTTTAAAAGAAAAGTTCAATTTGATTACTGATGTTGAAAGATTCTTTTTTGCATATTACTAAGCTAAGATGGATATGGCACCAGAGAAACTGATGAGAGAATTTTGAAACTGCTGTATGTGTAATAAAGCATTGAACAGTATGGGCTGAAAAAGCCTCACCAACATGAAATGTTATTTTTCCAACCAAAATGTTGACCCTTCATTTGGGATGGGATTGTTTTGGTTCCTCAGATACTTTTGAATGTTATTTTCTATTTTTTTCAAATATTTAAAATATTTTTTGCCAATTCTTCAGAGAGCATATCAGCCTTAATTTTGTACTTCTAATAATTAAAATGTAATTGAACTTGAAATTAGCTTTAATTAAATTAAAATATGATCAAAAGATCTACAAGCAATCAGAATTTTTACCAATTGGTCATTCAGTGAATTCCATATCATAAAATTGCAGTTTCGATTAATAGGCTCACTTTAAAATACTGCTGTCACTAGCTATCTTGGGCCATCACCGCCCACACAGAAAATAGGCTGACTTTAATTTATTTCCTGTTGGTGCACTTATGGGCTTGTTGAAGGTGCCGGCTGCAGGAAGGAGAAAGAAGAGCAGCAGAAGTCTTACATGCTGGATTCTGAGCAAGTGTGAAAGGGTCGGCAATGTCCTCCCGCCCATCCCTCCCCATAGCAACTGGCTTCAAATTAACTTTAAAAAAAAAAACTACAGTTCGAATACCATGAAAACAAAATCTCAGTACAACCACAAAGATTTCTAAGCCCCACCCACTGCCCAGTTATTCTGAATATAGCAGAGGTGTTTGGACAGCCAGGCAGAGCCAAGGGTCACTCCACTGAGCTGATCCCCATGCCCTGCCCCGCACCCCACATGGGGCTGTTACCCATAGAGCTCCTTGCAGAGAAGCATGGTCAGTTTCTTTAGATGAGGGAGACTGCTGGAGCCCGTCTTCACAAAATCAGAATCCAGGGCCAGCTGGGCACTTAAATAATCTTGGATGGCTTTAAGATGCTCTTCTGGAAGCCTGAAAAAAATAGACATAAAAACATGCTTATCCTGATCTTTTAGTCACAAACACTACTAGCACTAACAAGAAGAAATCCGCATTCTCAGCGTCTCTCTGGCTGAGACACTGCCGTTCAGATCATGGGCACCCTGTGGGCCATTTCCTTGTTCCTTCTACAGGGGTAGGAAAGTAAGTTTGAGCCAGGTTAAAGGGTCAGCAAGGGAAGGTGCCTCTAACCCACCCATAAAGCCTTCTTTCCAAGCCAGTGTTTGGAAGGAAGTGACACCGGCTGAGGACTGGGAAATGTTTGTCCCTTCCACGCTTGGAAAATGCACAGTGGACTTGTTTCCCTGCCTCGTTTACTCCCAGAGACAGGATCTGAGGGCTGAGGGATGCTTGTCTAGAGATGGCAAATGGCTGTAGCTCACATGCCAACTCCAAATTCACAGCCAAACGCTACCTGGAGCTCTGTATCAAGGGGGTTCCGAGCCATTCTCAGCTCCACAGGGAAATCTGTGAAGAAATGATGGGGCTGGGAATACAGCAGTGGCGGCCCAGGAGCTGGATGAACTAGCCCTGGCCCTCCTGGGTCTGCCCAGCCCTTCTGCTTTCCCATGAAGCACATGGGACCACGGCAGGACTGGCTCGTGGCCTAGTGGAAGCAGAGCCCAGGCCGCGCGGCACCAGGGCTGTCACCTAGGTCTGATAGAACTCTGCATTCTATTTCTTAGCACCTTTTTTCTGGATAAGTTGTGAGTCTTGGTTCCTATAGTAATGAATCATGATCACAGAAAATATCAACTGAGCGGAACACAGTGGTCACTCTGTGAAGCACTTGGCGCTCATTTTTCTTTTAATCCCAAATCAATGTTATAAGGCAGATGTTACTATTATTCCTATTTTACCAGTGAGGAAATTGAGACTCAAGGATGTTGATTTACAGCCTGTGTGAAAAAATGATTACAGCCTTAGCCATCTCTGCTCCAGCCTCGACATGTAACCAGGTTGAAACTAGAGGCCATGGGTATTTTCTGGAGGAGCCTTCAAACAGCTGTTTTTCTTAAGATTGGAAAGGAGCAGATTAGTCATTTTGATTTACGTAGATGGAGAAGTCAGCAATTATTTACATACCGGTGGTCATGACATTTAAATTTAATCTATACTTATTCTGGGTCTTGACATCTTAAAAATACAGTTTCTGCCCAAGTCTTTCTCAAAAGGACTAAATCTTTCTTACAGCATTAAGATCTGTATTTTAACAGTTCTAACAACATTTGACACATAACTTTGAGACTATGGGTCCTTGTTATACAAAGCTATGTTTGTTGAAATGTTTTTGTAGAAAAGTGTTGACATAAAGATATACACAATGTTATCATCTGTTATCAGAGAAAGTTGATTTTATTCAGCAGTCTCGTGATAATCTATGAACAATGACCTAACTGATTCAATCCAATTAACTTGCACAAAAGACTGTGCACATTGTCTTACAGTTAAGAATAATCTAAAGGCAGTCCTCCATGTAAAGAGCTATTCTCGCAAGCAAAACAGATTCACTTTAAAACACAAGGCAATTTCATGACTCGGAGGAGACGTGAGGGCAAGCCGCGCCGCCTCCTTCCTTGGTTCCTCCACCAGCTCCATTTACTCATTCCTGTCTCCACGGAGGAGTCTAGGAAGGTTCCCCTGCCACATCAGCTGAGAAGCAGAAAGGGAGAGAGCCCACACCCCCTCAGCTGGCTCCTCACACCCCCAGGAGGCTGCTTGGAGGCTTGGCTGCGTCCCGGGCTCTCTCCACACCTGTCCTGCCCCACTAGGGCCCGAGGCCCGGGAGAACACCCATCCCTCAAGAGGAGGGACTGATGAGGGGATGGAGCCACTAGGAGATGTGGGGGAATCAGGAGTGGGCAGAGGGTGGCACAAGTGGGCGTCCTGACCCATTTCCCCCGGAATTCACTGCACTTAGCATCTAAACCCGGAGAGAGACGGAAACTCCAGGCAACTCAACAATGGGCTCTACAGGGGCTATATTTAATGTGTTATTTACACTCATATATGGGGCAATCATAACATATCAACAATTTAAAACATTGGCTATTTAGCTATTTGGTAAATGGCACAAGTAATTCAAGGAGTGAGCACAGCATACAGCCTGGTGGGCCTAGAGAAGAATCAAAGGATACGGCCAAGTGGAAACACAACATCCCCAGGTGTCCTAGCAACCAGGTAGCCTGTGTGCCCCTTCAGGCATGTCCTTTGTATTTTGCCAATTCAAGCGATAAGTTGCCGCCCTGGCCTCCTTCAAATCCATCTTAGAGTTAGAGATGTCACATTAGCCCTGCCATTAGGGTATTCTTTGGGGGCCTTTTGTCTCACAAAGGAACAAAAAATGTTTAATGTATGGAAGTTACTGTGTACTAACTTATTAATTCATTCAATGCATATCTGGTGAGTGCCTACCCTGTGCTGGGCAGTGAGTTGGGCACTGGACAGAGCTTCCTTCCTGTGAAAGGCAGCCCCAGGCCCGTCTCAAGCAGTGCCTCTGATTGGCAAGGGAACCATCCCTCCACTGGCCGGGGACGTTCTGGGCCTGCTAGGGAAGAAGTGGGACTACGTGGTAAAGAAGCTGTAGAGTCTCATCAACGTGGCCCAGCAGGAGCCAGTATGGGACCACGTATGGGGAGAGATTCTGAGAACCCTGGATCAGGGTGAGTAAAATTTAAAGTATTAGAATGATTCCATTCCACACCCTTCACCACAAAGAAAGGAGCGCTGTGCTGTGTAGACCTCAGTCTGTACCACCCTCGGAAACATTGTGCTGACCCGTTTACTGGTGACAAAGAAGGTGGCCCCTGGTGAGGGGGGCCTAGGCAGGAAAGGGCTGTGGGGCAGGTCCGGGCTGCAGGGCACACAGCTCCTCCACTCGGGCATCTGACTCCGGGCCCTCAAATTCATCTTAGAGTTAGAGATGTCACATTAGCCCTGCCATTAGGGTATTCTTTGGGGGCCTTTTGTCTCACAAAGGAACAAAAAATGTTTAATGTATGGAAGTTACTGTAGTAGAGGTAGTAGAGGTCTTTGTGGTGGGAGAGAGGCCACGTACAGTTTAGGGCAAGACTCAGGAAGGGGATCCCAGCACAGACCCCTAGAGTCTGGAGCAGGGCCATGCAGAGAACTGCACATCACTCCAGAAACAGCCGCTGCCAGCTGTGGGGCTGGGCAGGGACAGCTGCTGAGCAGCACCCATGCACCCATGCACAGAGCTGCCGTGCGAGCCGGGCCCCTCACACCTGCCTCTGGGAGGTCGGTGGGCTCCACAGCGACCTGTCCTAGGTTGTCCTGTCCTAGAAGTGGTGCCCCCCCTGTGAGCACAGGGTGAGCTTCCTGGCTGTGCTGGCCTCAGGGGACGCGCGACGCAGGACTCACCCGCTAGTGTCCATGCACTGGAGCCGCTGAAACAACGTCTCGGAGAGGCTCGGCCGGCTGACCTCAGTGGCTCTCGGATTCTCGCTTGAAAGAGGGACCTCCTTGGCTTCATACGGCCCAGCAGATAAAGGGATGTTTCTCGGTGGCAGCTCAGGTGGAGACACAACGCCTTCTACATGAGAGAAGATAGGAATGCCATCGAGCTGAGCGCTCGCTTCTCTCAGGATCACCTGCCTGCAGAGTGGACCACGTGGCTGACCTGCTGTGCCCCCTGTGCAGGGAACCCACCCTGACATGCAAGACCCAGGCCACGGGGCCCAGTTACAGACTCCCCTGTGCCTGGACTGCCCCTCCTGCCCCCACTCACTCCTTGGCTAGACGGGGAAGCTGCTGAGGGCAGGAGCCAGTTCTCAGTGGTCTTTGGCCCTGGGGCCTAGTTTGTTCCATCGAGGCACTCAGCAAACACCTGCCATCCGGTTTCAGACAGCTGTGCAAGGCAGGGCAGCTGGCCTTGGCCCAGTGGAGTTCGCGGCCTCCGGCCGTGCGGAGGATGGTCAGCTTTTGGAGCTGAGATGGGCCCTGGAGTGAGCAGAGCTCAGTTCCCAGAACAGGACAGACAGGCGGAGGGGCTGGCAGGCCCCAGCCGTGCCCCCCTCTCTCTCTCTGCCTTCTTTCCAGCCCTACCTTTCCTTCTCTCACCCCCCAGACCCTCAGAGACAAATACAAGAAAGTGAGGGGCTCACTTCCCCCAGAGAACTGAACATGAAACACATGACTTCAACAGCCTAGCACAGGGGACCCCTGCCCATCTGCCTCTAGGAGCACTTCCAACCACATGCCCTGCACAGGCAAGGGGGGATCCCGAGCCACCTCCCACGCCAAATGGCCCCCCCACTGTCTGGCCACAGAGCCGCCTGGGGCCTTCTTTTTACAGGATGGGCCCTGAACTTCCTCCCCTGGCCTGGGGCTCTTTGGCTCATTTTAGGTCTGCTTTGAGCCCCATGGGGAGTGGGAAGCACTTTTTGAAGGGCCTGAGCCAAATCAGACTCCTTGGACTTGGGGGGCAAAGGTCACGCCCCCAATGTCTGTTTCAAGCTGACAGCTAGGCCTCCTTTGGGGAAGGGAAGCCAGCAGTCATGAGACTGTGTTTCTCTTTCCAGACCTTACAGAAGGTGTTGGGGTCTTTCTCTAGATAAGCACCCCTAGAGGGGCAGAAAAGCTGGGTGTGGGGGAGAGGGAAGTGAGGATGTTGCAATGTGGAGAGTGTTTCTACAGGACGACTTCTCAGCGTCAAGGCCCAGGCCCGGGTGCCTGGGGACTGCTGGGTGACATGTGGCCATCGCAGCGCTGGTGAGTTACCCTGGATGCACACGTGGCTACTTCACAGGCGAGGGCGCCTCTTACTCCATGGCCTGCCTGGGCCCCTCTTGGGCTCCAAGACGATCCTTTTGAAACACTGCCTGGTCCTCACCTTCTCCTCAGGACCAGGGAGGCCGCTCTTCAGAGAACCCCCTCTGATGAGGCAGTGCTGCGGTCTCCAGCCACCCAAAGCGCACCCCCAGGAAGGTGGTGGGAGGGTGGCCCACGAGCCTGCCCATGGGACCGGATGGAATGGGCGCTTGGCAGAGCTGGCCACAGCCTGTGGGGCCGGGCCGGGAGCTGGGCCAGGGTCTCCGTGATGGCTCTAATCTGCCTCTCCTCGGGTGGCCTTGGGGGCCCAGCTGTTCCAGGCCTTAGGATCTAGGAGGAGCCCTGGCCACGTAAGGGGCTGAGTTACACGTCTTGGGGTTTTCTTCTAGGAAAGGAACTTTTGAGGGGAAGAGAAGGGTGCCACCCAGGAGAGCTATGGGACAGGCCTGTGTCCCTCCACCACTCAAAGGGCGGGCCTGACTCTCACCGCTGCTTAGGGGCTGTACTTTCTGATAGAAGACCCAGTTAGGGGCCAAGATTTACGCCTTCATTCTCTTCACAGTGAAATGCAGCTTGTTATTTTGATGAGGATGGTAGCTGCATTCATTGAGCACTTACTGTATACTAGGCTTGGACTCTATATACATTGCCTCATCTGATGACACCCTGAGAGGGACATATATTTTTACTGTCTCTTTAAGAGAAGTCTGTGGTTGGAGAGGTTAAGTAATTTACCCAAGGTCACACAGCTAAGAAGCTGGGGAGCAGGAAGTTCAACCCAGGTCTGTCTGACCCCAGAGCCTGTGTTCCTGGCTTGTCCTTAACCACCATGTCACACTCTCTCCCTTTGATAGCTGGGCCCACTTCCTATCAAGCACTTGGAAAGAAACACCCCGGAACTTCACCACGGTGCTTGGAGGTTAGGGTCCCAAAGGCACCTCTCGGCCCAAGGCAGCCGCTGGTCTGCTGCCCTCCCCTTCGTCCCTTCCTACCTGTCTCCTCCTCCGGCTCATCACCTGCATCCTCCTCCTCAAGGGGCACGGGATACTGCAGGTGGGTCACCAGACCCATGTTTTCTTTCTTGTAAAACTCGATGAGCTGGTCCAGCTTAGTGAAGAACCTCACGGGGACACCTTCGGATGCCTGAGAACAGAACCCCAAACAAAAGCAATCTGAACTGGCCGGGACATCAGCCGGCCACAAAGGCCACCCGCAGCAGGGGCCGACAGGCCGAGGGAGTGACCGGGATCCAGAAAAAGCCCTGGACACCTCCACAGTGTCTGCCCATCACACCCACGTCCTCACATCCTGTAAACCAGCAGCTCCCGGCAGCCAGTCTGCAAAAGACACAAATAGGCCAGCTCTAAAGGTTCTTTTTCTTTCAGTGTTTTAAAACTTTTATTTCAAAAAGTGTTTTGCTATACAAGCAATAAGTGTTCATTATGGCAAAATTAGGACAGAATTTTTAGAAAAGAAATTATCTGTAGTCCCACAACTCCGGGAGACTTTTTTTCGACAGTGTAGGTTGGGGGCAGTTGTTTTTTTATTTCATGCCCCTCCAAGATAATTTATTTTTAAACACCGTAAGATCTATTCTAGCAACCGTTTTGCTTTTAATTTTTTTCATTTGTGTAGTTGTTTTATTAAAACTCAGAAAACAGTGACACAGCACAAAATTCTTTCCTGATTTGTACTGCTGTTGCTGATGAGAGCGAAGCCTGCCTATGATTCTGCTGCTGGACTGTTCAAATTGTCGTGTGGCTCACGCAGGAAATTCTGGGAGGTCCCTGGACGGCCAGCCCCACTCCCGAGGCCCCGCCCTCCTGAGTTCCGGCCGAGGCTCCACCCCCGTGGGCTACCCCTGAGGGGCTGCAGGGCAGGTAGGGAGAAGTGCAAGCCGAAGGGAGGCTGAGGTTCGTTCTCATCGGTGCTCTGTCCGAGTGTTCTGTTCCCAGCACGTCCCGATGTCCTGTCCACCCTCCCCACCCTCCCCGTCCAGTCTCCCTCTCTGCCTCTCCTCCGTGCTCCCTGTCTCAACGAATGGCACTGTCACTTCCCACTGGCCACACCAGAAACCAAGAGGCATCCTGGACTTCCCCTTCCCTCTGTCACCGACGGCAAAGGTGGGCCGTGTGAAGCAGGGCGCTCCTGACCCAGTCAGGAAGATGCGGAGCCGGGCTGCGGCCAGGTGGAGGAGGAAGACGTAGCCGGGCTCCAGGGAGGAGCAGGGATCAGGCCATTTGTGGGTATGGGGAGGAGCCCCAAAGAGGCACCCCCTCTGGGTGGGGCTTCCCTGGCCTCACAGGGGTACAGCACCCCTGGTCCTAGCACTAAGTGCCTGTGATTCAAGCCCATTATCCAAACAACCAACCAGTCAGTGACAGTCAGGTAATTTTAAAATGTTTTGAGAAGGTGCCATCCTTGGAGTTGGCAGTCAGGGGGTCCAGCTGCTCCCTTGGGGGCTGCCAGCTGCCTTCTTGCTGAAGGAACTGGGACCCACTGCAGATGGCAAAGGAGGCCAATAGGAAAGTAGGGTGGGGACTAGAAAGCCAGTTCAGGTTGGTGACTAAGTGGGGTCTGGACTCGCTCACCTCCAGGTCAGGTTCCTACTGGTCCAGCATGGTTAGGGGTGACTCGGGGGGCTGGGGACGGTGTGTGGGCCCCAGGTCTTGGGCTACATGTAAGTGAGATTTGGAGGGCAGATGAGGCAGGATGGCCCAGACTGGGGCAGATTCTGACCCCTGGGAACAGACCTGTCCCCTCTTGTTCTTGTTGGTTAACCCCAAACATAGTGAGGGTGCCCTTGCCTTCAGCCAGATCCACCCTGACTTTCACCTTGACTTAGGGCTCTCCACCCAGTCTCTCTGTCTCTCTTTGTCTCTGTCTCTGTCTCTGTCTCTGTCACCATGTGTATTTGTGTGTGCACATGCACTGCACACATGTATAGACTGGCACACGAGGGTACTTGTGTCTGAGTGTGTGGCTGCAGCTATTTAGTAAATTTGTAGAGAGTTTAAAGAAAGAGGTTTTCAGTTCTTTTCAATAAATTCCCTTGTTTTTATAAAACCCCATGCTAAGAAACCTCTTTCAAGCATTACTAAACCAGAAATATCTGAGCAGCAGCAGCCAGGCCTTCTAAAAATTTGAACAGGTTCAAAACCAAAAGTGAGCAGGGTAACAAAAATACTTTGATGTGACACAAGAGCGACGAAGTCAATTCAGTTAAAGCAGTCATGGTAAGTGTTATCCTGTCAATGAATTTACAGCTAATGGATGACAAGCCATTAGGCATATGAAAAAAGGATACAGAAATGTCAAAGAAAGTCTAAGTGAAACAACTCACGTGTGAGTCTGGAAAAGGTTTCTCAGCTGCAGGATGTCTGGGGAACACATATTTGAGAGAGAACATCAGTCATGGGAATTTTAGACAGAGCGATGCCAGGACACGGTGTTTTAGGTCCTGCTGAGAATTAAAGCCTCAACCACGATACACCATCAACTGTGGACACATTCGATTTCAGAGATGTGAAAAAAATAAGCATCTTAGAATTAATGAAATATGCTGTGTCTAAGCATGCAGAGGTCACAAATTACAGGAACAGGACCTCTAATCCCTACAGGTTCAGTGAGGTGGGAGGTGGGATGGGGAACCTGGGGGGCAGTCGCATGTGCTGAACGCTGCTGACCAGACTTGCCGCGACCTCTTGGACTCTTCACAGTAGCAGCTCCAGCTGCAGTGGAGGGCAAGTGCACAACCCTGAGAGGGTGGCCGTCCGTGCTGCAGCCTCACCACCTACCTCCCTTCGCTGGCCGTGCCTCCCCTCCACCAACCCAACTGGAAGCCAGGTACGGGAGACCCTCAGTACCTCAGGTGGGTGACCAGGCGCCCTGGAAGCAATGGGAAAGCAAGCCTGTGGGTTCTGCAGGCAACGGCAGGGCCCACAGCAGGACAGGGCGGCCACAGTTCGGGGCAAGGGTGGCCAACAAAAATCCTTAACAGTTGAGGCCTCCAGATTTTGTTTCTCATTCCTCAGTCACTGCCTTCCTGAAGAGATTTTTACCAAGTCATTTTAAAACAGAGAAGGAATCCCTGAAGCCCCACATTAGCCATGGGCTGTGACCGTGAGCCCCACATGGTTATAGACACTTCCCAGCACAGCGCCCAAGGATAACTGGGTTTCTGCTCTGTGGCAGCGCCCACCTGCAGGAAGGAATTCTTTGTCTCTAGAGCACAAGACAGCTTGATTTTGAAAAAGCAAAGAGGATCATTCCCTGTGTTAAGTCAGATTGTTGACTTAAAAAGTGTGGGACACAGAGCAGATACACCCTTGGAATTTGTGTCGTTGACAGAATGGACAAGAACTTAACATTCGTCACCAAAAGTCAAGCTGTAAAAAGACGTGGCAGAGGTTAGTTCAGGTTGTGAAACCAAATTTCTCTCTCTTCTCCTACCTGTCATTAAAATCTCCAGGTCTGTGGAAAGTTCTTGGCTCTTTTCACCATCATTTCTACCAAGCCCCTACTGACAGCTGCCCGGTAAGCCCATCGGCGCCCCCCCACCAGCTTATCTGTCTTTGAAGGGAAGGGGCCTTGCTTGGCTTAGCCTCATGTAGTCCCCCAAGCCCCTTCGGGGGTAATGACAGGTCCCACTACTGTTTTTGAGAGACAGTCTAGTGCATAACATGGACCTCACAGTTGAAAAGCTGTAGAGGAAAGAGGTGTGGATGCCAGCTTGGGCCTTGCAGGTCCAGTGCTCCTGGGGAAGGTTCAGAGCAAGGGAAGAGGGCCACTCCCAGCCCCAGGGTTCAGGAAGAAACCACCACCAGGGCTTTAAAACAGAAGGCAGCTGAACGTCCAGTGAGTTGGGAACTCTAAGTAATGTTTCCACAAACAGTTCTCTGGCTGTGACTTTCAGAGAGCCTCCAGAGGGGGGGGGATGAGCCAGGCACGGAAGCCAGAGGCCTGGACAGGCTGAACTTTCCCAGGGGGTAATTTTAACTTCAGCACCGTCTGGGGTCTCCAAACAGGGAACTGAAAGTGGGCCAGGCACCCAGGAGGAAGCCAGCCAGCACTGGGAGCCGAGCAGAGCTCCGGGGCGCCAGGAAGCCGCCTTGCTGCTACATGGCACACCCGCCTCAAGGGCTGCCCAGCCTTTGTTTTAAATTCAAAAGCATATACTATCATGCTGGGAGTTTTACAAATGATGGGAAGGTTATTAAGCAGTGGAAAAAGCCCCAAACCTGCTCATTCTCCCATCACAGCAAAGCCTTTCTTTTAAGTCCAGTGAGAAAGTCACTAGAAAGGCTTTGTAAGCAGTGACAATCCTATTTGGCTGCTGTGAAGAGAATGGCAGGGAGGGACATGGGGTGTCTGGGGTCACTATTATTTTTCTTTTCCCATGGAGGTCGGAAAGGTGTTGGAGGCCTCAAGGTGGCGGTGGGGGCAGAGAGGGATTCAGCCCTGGTTGCAGGACCCGCACACAGCCGCCAAGGTGCGGCACCAGTGGGGCTGAGTGGGGTGCTGTGGAACTCGGCTGTCCCGGCCCAGCCTCTGTGGTCCGGAGCATCACCTCCCGTTTGCCTCCGGGGCTCCGAGGCCGCTGAGGCCCAGCAGTGTCTCCTCCACTCACGGACTGGTGGAGGCCACTGCCCTGTGCACCTCTCACGGTGGCGGGGACCCACCACCTTCCGTCCTCACCTCTGAAATGTTTCCCTTGGTTTCCCTTCTCCCCTCGGGACTGTTCTCTAATCCTGAGCCACCTTCTCTCCCAAACCCTGTTCCTAAGAATCGCAGACCCCCAACTTGGGCAAAGAAGAGAGAAGCAAAGAGACCAGCTCCTCAGTCTCTTGGTCTCTCGGGCCTTTTGGGATCTGCAGGGTTTGGGTTTTGTTCTAAGGGTGATTTGGAACCAGTAACGGCATTTAAAAGTGTGTATGTATGTGTGACTTGGTCGGATTTACATTTTTGAAAATATCACTTTGGCTTTTGTGTGAGGCCAGAGTAAAGCTGGGGGCTTTGGGGCTCGAACTGGAGAGGAGTGGAGCCCAGGGGCCAGGATGAGCCGCGCTGGAACCCCCAGGGGTGGGCAGCGGGGAGCCAGGAGGCAGGGGCAGGTTTGCAAAGGCTCTAGAGGCCGACTTCAG